TCTCTACCCTGGAGTTCTGCAGGTGACGAATTCGCCTGGAATTTTGACTGGATTTCGACAAAAGAATATTAAAGAATATTTTTGTGTTCCAGAAAAACTCATTAATCTTTGAGACTGATGCGGGAACATATGATACTGACACTTTTTTATAATTAAGAAAAATTAGGTAGAGGTTGACGAAATAAAATTGACAAAATTTATTTTTTGCCTTATTCAGGAGATTCTGAAAGGTTATGTAACTTACATAGACTTGTCGTTCCGTGTTCTGAAACCTTTTGTCTGATCCTTTCAAAACCAGAAAAGACCGCGAATATATTTCTATTTTAAATATAATTTTAAGCTCGAAGAAAAAATCTGTAAAAATTAAGTCACACACCTAATACTTGACCGATCGGGCTGAAATTTAGCACAGATGTGTGTTTCATTAGTACCAACTATGAGCCAAAATTTCAGCTTTTTTGTAATTACTTTTCCCGATTTATTAACACACTTCTGGACAAACACATACACATACATACAGACATCGTTTAAAAAACATCATATCTCGACGATTTATACCACCCTAAATCATGTCTATGCAAAATTAGAGAATCGAAAAAAATTGCATTTTTAAAGCTTCCATTCGGAAGCAAAAAGCTAAAATCCTATGAAAAAAATGAAGTTTCTCGTGGTTACACGACACAAAATCGATCGGGTCCGCGATTTTCCCTTATTCTCACATTCCGCCATATATCATAAATTGTTCAATGGGTCCCAAGACTTTTAAATGTCACCGATGTATCCCCTTAATCGTTTGAATTCTGTGAATTATGCTATTGATAAGAATGAGATATATCCAGAAGTGGACTATTTATATATTTATAATAAAACAAATACTTGATGCAATGGAATGGAACGTTTTTCTTTTTGAAAGATCAGTATAATGCTAATAAATTGAATAAGCTTTGGCGAACCATTCCCATCTCGTAATTATTACTAAATTTTGTTTGATCGATCCCGTTTATTCGTTCGGGCACGGTGGACGGTGCACTTTATAATTGGCACTGTGGTAGGAACTGTTTTTGATGTATATAGCTACTATCGTTAAACATGCTGTTACCTAACACATCCGTTATTATACACGGAGAAAAAAATTCCAGAAAAATTACCGTGCCAGCATCGGAAAGTTTGCTGCGGAGTACAAGAATTTTTCCTGTTTTATCGTGCTACCACAGTCATTTTCCTGGATTTTTTTCTCCGTGTGTTATATTTCTCTGTTGAAAAATCAAAATTTGTTAACAAAATAAAGTAATTTGTTATTACTGTAGTATAATAACAGATGTGTAGAAACACAAAGAAAGAACACACCATACTTCGTCATTTGTTTCGTAAAATTTTATTCGTTTGTTATAAAAAAAACATTACACAACCAATAAAATCATGTAGTTTAAATTATCCCAATTATTTATCTCAATTTTGGCTCAAAATCTTCAGTAATAATTATAATGGCTCTTATACATAAATTCTAATAAATAAAAATCAATATGGAACAAGATGAAGATCAGCCTGTTGACGTCCGGAATGCTTCGCCAGTGGAAGAAGAAATCAAAAGAGCAGAAAATGATGACCAGTCAACGCATCCAGCGGAAGAGTACGAATCAAAGCGGATTCCGGTACAGAAATTCCCCGGAAAGGCTCTAAAGAGACTGGAAAAAACCGCACAAATCAAAGAAGACCATTGTGCGAAGAAATTGAAGAGAAAGACCAAAGACTCGAAGGGTCCGGTGACTGTGACAGTTCTCGTTAACGAAAAACCATGCGTTTTACCGAAAATAGACCTGATTCCTAGACACTGTTTATCCAAAAAAGAATGGATAGACCTGTTGGCCACTCCAAGTCGAAAATGTCCACCCCCTTGCAGGAAGAAAGAAGTTGAGCGGAAATTGCGACCCGTTTCTCTTCGGATAAACGAGCTGGCACTGCCCACGAGGCAGAGAATGATGACGACCCTTCAGGATCGAGGGAACGTTCTTCCGGCTGAACTGGTGGACAGATTGATAAACATTTTGGAGGGAGAAACGTGCTTAACACCTGAGTATGTTCACTCAATGTTTCATTTTTCCTCACATGTGTTTGTTTCAACCGATTGCTTCCACTCACTGTAGTATACTCCACTATTCACTGCTTTATAATGGCGGGCGTGCGCCACAGTACATCTCTCATGGCGTACTGATACTTTGACAGATCTCCTTCTTCTCTCACATTGAGTAAATTTTCGAAATAGTCCTGTTGTCAATTCTCATAAAACAGAAGTTTTTGGCTTCCGAATGGTTCCGAAGCTTTGTAATCGTTCAAATTTAAGGAATTTTGGATTTCTTTTGGGTTGTCGACCTCACCTTTGGCTCGGCCTGTACTCATCTTCGTTGAAAACGAAATTTATGGCCGAGAGGTTTATATTATTTTATATCACATGGCGATAAGAATATTATCTGCTTCATGTGATTATGACCCTGGTAGGAGATGAGAAAGGACCCGGGGTAGCCCGGGGATGGTCCGGTGCTGGCCAATATTAGGTCAGCCTTGGCTAATCTTGGCCAATTCTTCATCTCCTACCAAGGAATCTTCGCCTACGGCTCAGATTATAAAGTCACATTTGTTAGTTAATACTTTTATCGCCTGATGACATAATGTACTATTGTTGCAAAAGATCTGGAGGCATGAGAGATTCTCTCAACAAAGGCTTAAAGTCAGTGGAGAGACGCGAGGGTTTTAGGGTGCGTGTAACGAGTGAGATTCTCGAACCGCATGCTTAAGGAACGTGGGGGTTAGCGCGCCTAACGCCGGGTTAATTTACCCGTCAGTAAGCGCGCTGAGACTTTCGCTAACAAAAATTTTCCAAATGTAGGAAACATTTTAGGATTGTAAATATTGACAGAAACCATTTTTAGATGCCTCAAGTAACTATCAAAATGCACCAATAAATGAATCAACAATTTTTTCGAACGGATCGTGAGCGGTGAGAGATTTTCTCATTGCGCGTCTAAAGTCTGTGAGGAGACGTGCTAACGATTTTTATTACGATTTTCTGCTACACGTCTCCTCAGTCAGAGTTCTTTTTTTTATGTTTTCATTTTGAGCCCCATTACTATAACCGTTATGTACTATTTCGTTGATTCTTAGTCTTCATTTTCCAGGCAGGCAGAGCGATTATTCCGCAATGACTCCCAGAATGCTAAAAGAACCTGCAAAATTCGAAAATCGAAATGCAAAACCTCAGCTCAAGCCCCTAAAAAATCAGAAGTTTCGCACAGCCCATGTAATAAAGATGCAGTAGGCTGTCAATACTTGATGGCAGAAGCCTTCGTGAAGAGCCTCTTGCAGTGGAAATGCACCCTTCCCAAGGCGGAGTTTAAGGACATTGCGGATATAATAATAAAAAGATTATCCACCACCTTAGAGTACACTCCAGTCGACAACGCAGATCGCACGACCCAACAGATGAAGTTCCTAGCAGATATCATCGCAGCATGGATTGCCGGCATCCTATTCGAAGTTGCAGAATCTCACAAAGAAGATCTCGAAAAAGAATGCGAGGAGCGGAAAAAAATGAAGGAAGAAGAAGAAACTGAAGACGATACTGAAGAATCTGAAGAACAAGAATTCATTCCTCAAAAAATTGAAGATTCTAAATCATTGAAGGCTGTTGAAACTACAGAATTGAAAGAAGACACAGAAAAAGAGGATGAAAAATCGGAAGATGGAGAAGATGGAGACAAAACTCCAAAGGATGATAATAAAGATAACGATGGTAATGGTGGTGCCGGTGGAGTTTCTGAACCTACGGAACCCTCAGAAGATTATCCTGAACCTCCAGCAGATCAAGGAAGACCCACACAAGAAGAAACTGAACTCTCACCGGATGAAGAATCACAAGAAGAAACTAAGCCCTCGCCAGATGAAGCCCCGCAGGATAATCTTGACTCCTTATTAAATAGATCACAGACAGATCTAGATATTGAATCCTCTGAAGGTGATGGAAAATTCCCTCCACTTAGTGAAGAACCACCTATTGGTAAAATTCCATTAACTACATACAAGGAAGAAGATGATAAATCAGTAATCTCCACTGCAGTACCATCTGCACTCCCTCCTGAAATTCCAGAAGAAAGTCCAGACAAATTAACAGCGTCAATACCAGCGAAAGAATCAGAAGACAAGAAGACCAACCAAGAAGATGATACATCAGTAATTCCCATTGCAGTACCATCTGCACTACCTCCGAAAATTCCAGAAGAAAGTCCGGACAAATCAACAGCGTCAATACCAGTAAAAGAATCAGCAATAGGGAAAGAAATCGATGGAAAAGAGTCGCAAATCGGAACATTACCAGACGCATCAAATGATGCACCTCTTGCAACTCCAGAAAGCATTCCAGCCATTCCGGGAGATGTTGGAGATACTCCGTTCACCGTAGAAGTCTCGGCAAAAGATTCCATAATTCCCGCAATGCCTCAAGCTACACCTTCAGAACAATTAATGAATTTGAAACCATCAGATACATTAGACAAAAACATCTCCACCATCGAAGCTGCAAAATTAGAAGTGGAATCATCAACAGAACAGATTTCCGTGACTCCAATACCAATAGAACAACCAGAAGACGTTTTAAAGGAAGACGCTTCATTGAAGAACTTAGGATCGGATATAACGGCGAAAGAGCTCTCGACAGCAAAAATTCCATCATCAAAATACCCCTCATCTTTACCATTCCAAAGACCTCAAAGAAAAGCTCCAGAAACAGAGGAAAAAGACTCTGACTTCATTGAAGGGAATCTACGGAAGATGCTGCAGACTGATGTTCCCTTCCTAGACCTCATCAAGATTTTCGATAGAATTGAAAATGCAGTGTCTAAAGAGAAAGAAAATCAGGGAGAGGATTTAATGACTGACCGGATTCATCGAGCTATCTACGAAAAATTCGAACGATTAGTAAAGGCAGAAACTCCGGAGAGATGGACAGCACACCTACAAGATGTTCTTGATGTTTTATCCGGAAAAATCGCTCAATGGGTCAGAAATATCCTAACTGATTCTGAAATTCTCTTCTTGAATGAGAATCCTCCAATGGTTGAATCTGGAGAGTTGAGAAACTTCGGAAAGTGGATAGGAGAGATGTCAGAACGAGCTAACGGTTGGACTGTTTGGATGCAGAATATGATCAATGAGTTGATGAAGATGCAGCCGAATCAGGTAACGAGGATTGACTGGCAAAACTGGACTAGAAATTTTGCGGAAGATGCCCTCAAGTGGAGACGGTATTATCTGGAGTCTGTTCATTACGTTCATCATAATCGAACGATGCTTTCTGGTCGAGAAGTCGTTAAGACTGGAGAAATGAAGTATCCAGAATGGTCAATTCAGGAAAGAGAAATCGAGACTCTTGATTTGTTGCAGGAGTAACTTCTAGGTAACAGGGAATTCAACTGGTATTGGTGGGCTGGAGAAAGTAACGGGGAATTTGAGATGTGATGTGTTAATGATTTTTTGGCACAAGTTTGATTTTATTTGCAAGTTCCAGATTTTCGAGTTATAATTAATCAGTAAAGTGCTGGCGAACAGGAAATGAGCCAATCTTATTTCATTTTAAAATCAGTTTTTCGATAATGTCTCGTCATTATCGGGAGGGAATGTAATTTTTGTCGATTTTTTGGACATAGTTTTGATACTGCTCAATTAAGTACGTCCTCAAGAAGTTTTCGTATTTTTTTTCGAAATACAGATAATATTTATTAAAAATACATGAAAAATGTACGGAAATTGAGTATATCGATAACGTTCCACTAGTTTCCTACTGATTTTGCAGATGAGTTCTGAACATAGGTTCTGTATAGCGTTTTTGTAGGAAATGTTATATATAAAAAATACTAAATGAAACCTCTGATATTTGTTTCGTTGGAGAGTGAGAGTCGAAGAGGGATTTTACTTTGCTGGATTGATTGAGTGGACTAATGTTTATTCCGTTATGCATTGCTTCTTGAAAACTTCAATTTCTTTCTGTAAGAAAACTGAATGATTCGTCTAAATTTATCGCAGTAACTTATGGAATTGTTCCAATAATGGGTAATTTTCTACTGGAAACTCACAACATTTTTTCATGACAAATTTTGTTAATAAAAATAAATTCTCTCGAATTTTCCTTGAAAAATCAGTCCTTAGTATTTTTTTACTCCAATGCGGTATTGATTATTCAACTCATTCTTCGACTGATGTAGTGAAAGGGATATTGAAACCATATTGACACAAAAAAATTGAAAAATGCAGCCAAAGTCGATTGTGAAGTAGCACGAAAAACCAATTTTTGTCTGAAAGTGGAATAACTTAATGAAAAATGATCAGCATGGAATGATTAACAAATCACTTTGAAGTTTATTTAATAGGCTTTCGAATGCTCATAAAACATATAAGATTCATCAAACATGAAGAAATACATTAGCGTGAAAGCCAGAAAAAGGACCAGTGTCACGGTCACGAATTGTTCTATAGGGGGATAATTTTATCAATGAGATTTTTTGGAACTGGGAGAAAGAAGAATCGACTTTTTAGCGCCAAGTTTTCTTGATAATATGGGGAGGAGTCTTTGAGTAGTGAATTGTTAACTTCTCATCTTGGATATATGACCGGTTTAAATAAATAATTCAGGTAGATTTGTCCACACAGTAGCGAGGCACCAGTACCAGTAGTCTCTTTGCATCTACTTTTCGGCCAAAAATTTGCTGTATTCATTGGTTGGAATCCATATTTTATCAGCGAAATATTTCAAATCCTTGTAATTTTAAGTGTTGTTAGTCACGTGATAATTTCGAAAGCGTAAATTATAGTCGATTTACTGACGTAGCAAGACGAATGAATGACTCGCGCAAATTGGTTCAACTTCCTTATTATGGAATGTGATTACAGAGCGATGTTTCTAGCTCGGCCTGTAAACCTCACAGTTGCTAAAAGTGGAATTTTTCAACTAGAGCTTTAATGCACTTTTTCCACATGGAAATCGAACATGAAAGTATCATTTGTGTTCCAAAGCGAGAGAAAATTCAGGAGTAAAGACGATATGCCTGCTTTCTAGCAGCTCGTACCTTTCTATCGAGTGCTCTCGTTCGAGTATCGCATAACGGAGTATCCAAGAGAAAGCGAGAGTGCTGGATGTCCGGAAAACGACTTCGAGATATGATCACGATATGGATCCCAATGCGAATGGAACCAGACTTCCTGTATTATGTTTATTATCAGTTTATTAAACCACTGGAAAATGTAAAATTATGGAAAGTGTGAATTCCAATATTCATATATGAGCAGTTCTACGCCAAAACGGACACCTAAAAAGTTCGATATCGCGGATTTTCTTGCTGATTTTCTCCTAGAAAGTTGAGCATTAGACGAACATTTTGAAAAAAAAAGTCGAAAATATAAATAATTGCGGGAGTTATGATTTTTTGAAATTTTCTTGTATTTTTTTTATGAAATTTTTTTTCTCAGATTATCATTAGTATCCGAGCCCAGATTGAAGCTATCAAATTTGTCTTCAACACATTTAAAAAACATGAAAAAATCTGCAAAATGAGATGTCACTCGTTCCATTCCCTTCAGATTTATGGGATTTATTCCACAAAACGTTTTTTTTTCAATCGCGATTATCTCAAAAACCTAATTTTTAAAAAATCGGAAATTTTCACCAAAAATCATCGATTAAATGACGAACATTTTGGCGTCAATTGAAGTTAGTACTTTGCAGTAGTTTGGCAGATATGATTTTTTAAAATAAGCACACTACTAAAAATGATCAGAAATCGCTGTTAATCATCCAATTATTTTACGAAAGAGTGGATTTTCGATTAAAAATTTGTAAATGGAAAGATATGGGAGTAGTGGAAATAAAAAAAAAATCAGTTTGTCGTTCGTATTAGTCGAAATCCGGTATTTGACTGACGAGTAAGTTTTTATTTCTTCTTCGATTGATATTCACTAGCAGACGATAGCGACAGATAATGTAGAACTCCGATATATCCCTCCGTGATATTGGATCGAGGCTCCAATACACCGTTCCTAAACGAGTTGAAAATTCAATCTCTCGGAAATACCTCGATTATCAAACAAAATTACTGGGAGATGAGTGAAAATAAACATTGTATAATTTTCTAAATAATAAAAACTTTCTTTCAAGTAATTTAGAGTTGTTATTTTCAAAATTAAATGAAAATGATTCATTTCAGGGAATGATGGGAGATATAATGTTCCTAGAACTCTCCATTTGCCGATGTTCAATTGAAAAATTCATCAATTCTTGAAATAATGGGATGATTGATAGTGATTTCTGATCATTTTTAGTAGTTTGCTTATTTCAAAAATTATATCTGCCAAACTACTGCAAAGTACTGACTTTAATTGATGCCACAATGTTCGTCATTTAATCGATGATTTTTGGTGAAAATTCAGATTTAAAAAAAATTAGGTTTTTGAGATAATCGCGATTGAAAAAAAAACACGTTTTGTGGCATAAACCCCGTAAATCTGAAGGGAATGGAACGAGTGACATCTTATTTTGAAGATTTTTTCATGTTTTTTAAGTGTGTTGAAGAGAAATTTCATAGCTTTAATCTGGGCTCGGATCTTAATGATAATCTGAGAAAAAAAATTTCATCAAAAAAATACAAGGAAATTTCAAAAAATCATAACTTCCGCAATTATTAATATTTTTGACTTTTTTTTTCAAAATGTTCGTCTAATGCTCAACTTTCCAGGAAAAAATCAGCAAGAAAATCGGCGACATCGAACTTTTTAGGTGTCCGTTTTGGCGTAGAACTGCTCATATCTATTTTTTCTGTGTCTTGTCTAACTATTTCGTTGAATGTAGATTCCATTAATTCTTCGCCTATTGTATGGAATAATTCCGTGGCTTTCGGTAGAAACTCCACGGCTCAAATTTTGTGTTTTTGTTGTTTGATTATTTCGTCATTATACACATGTTTTTAAGTATTTTGAAGAACAAAACCTATGTAGTTCAAAAAGTGAGGAAACTGGACAATTTTTTACATTTGAGCGCCCACGGGACAAATCAACAATAAAAAATTCGACTGGGTTGTTGGTCGCTCGCTTCACTCGCTCCAATTACGCGTGGGCTGGAGTGGGTGTGACCCAGAACGGTTCGAACCAATAACTTCCCGACCAATTCCCATTTTTCTGTTTATTGAAAAAAAAAACAGATTTGGAAATTTCCATCCAGATAAAGAGAAATCTGTTGAGATGATTTTGCCCAGCTTCCAATCAAAATTAGACTTCGCTGTAAAAACTCCGGTCTTACGAGCGGTCTGAAACTAAGATCTAAGACCGTAAGTCCGGTAAACAATCTTAAAATCACATCAATATTCGATCTTAACGTGAGATCTCACGTAATTTAAGATCGTTCATGCGAGGGGCTGGGAACTCGAAAATCGAGTGACACCATAACTGCAAAATGCAGTCGATTTCACTCGATTACTTTAGTGATTTCAATGATTTCATTGGATTCGTGATTTCAGCGATTTCAAGCATGCTTATCAGTGATTTCAATGACTCACTATAATTTCCTTGACTTCATTCAATTGAAATCAATGACTTCTGAATCATTGAAATCATTGCAATCTCACCGAACCGAAATAATAAGTGGGACCAAAGGATTGAACTATCGATTTTATTGTCACAAAATATTCAAGAACGATTACAAATTATTGCTATTATATCTAATCAACTAATTACCAATGCTAGAAGTATTATTGTACTTCTTTCAAGATGCTTTGGTCAACTGTCAAGTCCCCCTTGTCATTAAAACTTGGTGGTGAATAACTTTCGATACTGTTTAATATCGATATAGCCTTGAGCCGTCATTGGCTGCGACGGTAACCTATCTGAATGTTTTTCCATAATAGACCAAGAACACAAGACGCTTATATCTTTTTTATTACCTTCGATGCGGGCATATGAACTAGAAAATTCTCTACTCTTTAAAATTTTTCCTCCTGCATACGCGAAGTTCAATATTAACCCTAATAAACATGTTTCGTAATCTTTCTCTTTGAGGAGACACCAGTCTTCTATATTTATTTCATCACATTTTTCAATAAAAGCTCTGTTATCAGTCTCATGAGAAGTACGATTCCGCTGACTAGCGTACCTTATCACTTCTTGATGTCTCACTCTTTGTAATCTATCTGAACTCAATTTCGAGTGTCCGTTACTTAGGAGCCAACAAATTGACGACTTGCGAAAGATCATCTCATTACCCATATCATCTTTAACTGAGACAAATGGACCCTCTGGATTCAAATTAGCAGAGTTCTTATAATTGGTCAACTCTAACTGACCTTGCACAGCTTTGAGAATATTTAAATCCTGTAATAAATCGTTAGAGGTTTCGTTTAGATTATGTTCGTTGCCGCACTCTTCCTCAGCAATTTCTGTATCGTGCAGCTCATCTGCCTTACTCTCATCGACTTCTAAACATTTTACTGATATATTCATGCACTCTGAAATTTTTACATTCATACCCAATGTTTTTACTTTCATGAACGCCTCTTGTTTAGCTGTTTCAATTGTGTTTTGCATGGCGTCAAAATTGGTCAGCTCAAACTGTTCAACAGCTCGTTTCGACGATGCTACACGAGAATAATTGAAAATATTAGTGCAATTGTCTACGTTGCCTGACGTGACATCTGCCTGCAATTGCATTCGTTTCACCCTATGAATAGTCTCTAACAAAGTACAATTAACTACTGTCGAATAAG